TTGACAGGCAGGTTCTTTCACAGACGACACGCCCCTATTATCTGCAAGAATAGTACTAGGCCTTTCCACAGGGATGGCTTCAAATGTGTCTGAAATATTTTCCAGTTCCTGTTCTTGCTGTTTGTTAAGACGGACATACAATTTGCCTTGACCACATAAGTTTTTAACGTGCTTAAAATCCCAGTTGTAGCCATCAGCTACAACAGGAGTAGAGACTCTTTTGCCGAGGACTTTAACAAATTCAAAATCATCCGGTGCAATGTCAGGTATTTGTGTCTTCAACGCTCCGACGATTTTATTTCGCACGAGACGTTCGTCATCTGTGGTGACGAAATCCACTTCAGCATAGCACATTATCGTATCATTCTTTAAAGGAAATTCGTTTGAAGAACCAGAATTTTCCAAGAGCACAACCGTTTTAACCACATCCTTGGGAAGAACATTTCCATAACGTGAAGCCCCCGACAATCGGGGTCTTTTAGGATACGCGCTAGTGGCGCCATTCTGAAACGACGTGCTGGCATTTCGTGTGAATGACGATCGATTGCTTCTTAAAATATCCCTGGCACGGTTTACAACCTGTCCAATTTGAGAGTTTAGCCGTTGGCTAGTTGTACTTGTACTTGTGTTCTGTGGGGAAGCTGTAAATAACAAGTTTACGGCTAAAATAATTCGATTTGAGATCTGCTCTCGTCTGTTCATACATTTAAAGAAAGCATAAGCAAAGCGGTACACTGAAAAAAATTAATTTACAACTACCTTCCAGTCTTCCTGTTTCCCCTGCATTTGCAGATCTATTGGTGTTCGACTGCATATACTCCTCCAACGCTTGTCTCACCTCGGAACGAATTATTGACCGGTTCAAATCCATTTTCGTGAAGCTGAGTGAAGCTGTGAAAAAGCTGCGACAGAGTGCGACAGCAAAACAGACCGGGTTAGGGCAGGCGAACCATTTTTGGCGCGAATCGGTCCTATGCGACCAGGCCTAACAAGTACCACGTGACATTCTGGGATAAAAATATATTTTTTATCGAATGAAAACATTATATCAAATGAAAATTATTTTTATTGAATAAAAACATTTTTTTTGTGTCAAATGAAAATATATTTTATCGAATGGAAATATATATTCTTGAATTCCCCGCACCCAAAAAACTGACAACCAGAAATGCGGTGCGGGATAAGCAGACAATTCTTAGCCCATTTATTGAACTAACCAACTAATCACAAAACAAAAACAACTGTTTCCACTGTTTAGACACCAAAAAATCAAACAAACTGTATACGTTTGATCCGGCCAAAGTAAATGAAAAAACAAAACCACTTATAATAACTGTCAATCATCAGGAAAACACAACTAAAATCGTTACGAGGAAATGGATTACAGGATTTCAATCGAAATATACAAAAGAACAAAATTTAACTGTCCGCTTGTAAAAATCCACAATGAAACTTGTTTACTGTTCAGCGAATATATACTTGCTACTTTACATATCACACTTTCTTCTCATAATCTCATGCCGGCACTTAAAACACACTGCCGACGAATGCACCTGTGCTTGGGAATTCAAGAAACCATTTATCTTTTGTTTCATTACGCTTCGCTGCATTCAGGCAAAGATAAATGAACAATTCTTGAATTCCCCGCACCCAAAAAACTGACAACCAGAAATGCGGTGCGGGATAAGCAGACAATTCACAATCAGCGGCAAAAGCATATAAGGATACAAAAAAAAAAGGCAATGTTCATTAAGCAAACGTATTTACTGTATAATAAATAGCTAATCGCTTGTATACCATAAGGGTACTGTCCAAAAATCCTCAAGCATATCCACCTGCGGCAAGGATACTATGTCGTCAAGCAACGTTAAGCCATCAGAATTAATTGGGCAAACGTAAATCTCTACATACTGCTGCATACAACACAACTCGCGCAATGTTTATCAAGCAAATCACAAACTGAAAATTAAAGAGCCAAATTTCTAGATACCACAAGGGTATTTTCCAAAGATTCATTGACATAACCATCTGCGGCTTGGATACTGCGCCAACCACCATGTCTACGCCATACTCTCCCAGAAACTCCCCTGCATGCTGCTTGGGAGGCACCACCTGAACGAAGGCTATGTAAACCAAATTCGTTTGAGTCTAAACCAAGTTCGGAAATCATTTGACGAAACTGTTCCCGTGCCCGAGAATATGACAGAGCAGCTTGTCGCAGCTTGTACCCGGCACCCAATTTCTGGCAGAGACAAAATAATGACTGAGATGGTTGATGCTCTCCGCGCTCAAGGAATAACTCTAACAGTGTCACTGGACAAGAGCTGGAAGGTAAACGAGCAACTTTAACCACAGATCCCTGACGGAATTGATCGTTCTTACGCCTGTCTAGGAAAACAGACATGTGGGTGGCGCAAAACCTTAAGTCACAGGCACGTAAGTCACGCAGCTCTGACCAACGTAGGAAGGCACAAAAACCAAGCGCAACCAGCGACACCATTTGTAAGTTCGGTAGAGAAGCACGAGGGTGACCATAGGAACGAATCAGCGCCCTGACGTGATGAGATTCAATAGGCTGCTTTTTCCTAGATGGACCAGCCAGGAGGCGTTTAAAGCCAGCCAAGGTCTGAGAAACGAGCGGATCGTCAACAGGATTAGGACATCCAAGTTTCTTATGTAGCCATGCAATGCCATAAGCTGCTCCAAGGAGCGAGATAAGCCTCGGTCTGAAAGACTTGTTAAGTAGAGAGCAACTGCGGTTGGGTTAGACTGTAAAGGAGGAAACGAGTAACACTTGCACCAGTCAATCCATCGATTGGCTGCCCCTGCATACGAAGACACGGTTGAAGCGGCACAGTCATTAAGTATTACAGTCTTTAACAGTTCTACAAGCCTCTGAATCTCCGCGTTGCTCCGTTGGTAAGGCGACAAGCCTAAAGTGAAAATCAACAATGTCCAAAACATGGCACTTTAAAGACAGGAACAACATCCAATTGCTACAGAACACTAAACGCGCAAGATACACATCATCTGCAACGAGAACTGCCCACATGGCAAGTTAACACAGCACCAGTACACACTCCAGCACAAGGAGGCTTGGCCAACTCGGCGTCAACTGGTAAGCAAAACCACACAAAGGATAGAGGAGTCCACTTGACTCTAAAACGAACACACTACTGTGTCGGCAGTAGTGCCCTCTCGGCTTGCTTCAGCTGCACAACTCGTGCGTACTAGTACAGTTCCAAGTCCACTGACTTGCAAAGAGCAAAGGCCCACACCTAGGCCAAAAAGGCTCAGACAGAACAAAAACAAATAATTAGGATGAACAACTCGTTCAAGGTACTCATCTAATACGCGAAAAACGTTCTACAGCAAAACTAAGGAAATACAATTCTCAAAGCAAATACCCTACACGAGGGAATACCATGCCCGAAAAGATCCGCGGCTGCGGAACCAGGGAGAAAAGTAGACTCATGTAAAGGAATCTCCCGCCAGTCAAGAACAAAAGGGTGGAAAACCCCGGGGCATCGAGACACCAACGGCCACCAATGAGCAGATTGCCAAAAGGGGATAATGAGAGTGCCCTGCTCTCTACCCAGTTTCATGTGATTGATAACCCTGGGTATAAGGAACACTGGGGGACCAACCAATTGTTTTCCCCTCCCCAGCTGACGGTAAAAGCATCAACAGTTTCGGTCCCAGGACACCACCATCGAGAACAAAACCTGGGCAACTGGAAAGAATTATGACTCGCAAAACGATCTACGGTGTGGGGTCCCCACAGAATATCCAACTGGCGAAAATGGACAGGGTTGAGCATCCAATCATCGGTGTCGACAACTTACGACCAATAATCAGCTTTGAAATTAAAGTGGCGAGGTATCCACTCCGCAGAAAAGCGAATACCGGCTTCATGGCACAAACTGTAAATGGCAACCGCTTCTTTTTGCAAATGAGGCCTACTACTGCCGACGGACAAAATACTGCAGACGCTCTGATTGTCAGATCTATGCTTGCACTCCTTACCCGCCAAAAGACCGGAAAACGACTGAAGAACAAATCTAATTGCACGAATCTCGCGGAAAGAAGAGCTGCATAGGGCCTCGGAACCCAACCAGTTCCCTCTAGCGATGTGCGTACCAAATTGAACAATAGATCCCGCCCAACCCACATTGCTGGCATCCGAATAAGACAAAAGCTCTATCTTCGGGGAGGGCCTCCAGATTGGTTTGCCGCACAAACGAAAGAAATTATCTCTCCAAAAATAAACTTCCTCTACAGCTTCACGCGTTAAAGCCACCTTGCAGCTAAGGCTATGAACGCTATTAAGGACTGCGTACAAGGCTCGGGTGCGCAAACGCACAACTGGACCTAATGCGAGCTCCATGGAAATAAGGGTACCCGTAATACGAGACACATCCCTAGCCGTGGGTGAAACATCGTCAAGAAGCAGTGAAATCAGATTAAACAGGTGATCAATCTTGCCTGATGGGATACTAAATTCTCCTTTGGTAAGGTCCAAAATAAAGCCTAAGTGCTCCCCTTTTTGGCGCGGTTCAAAATTGCTCTTCTCCTCATTCACTAGCAGGCCAAGGCGATCAAGATCGCCTCGCACTAGTTGCGCTTCCTGAGAACACGAATCTTTACTTGACTCGGTGCCGATACCGTCGTCCAAATAGACAGAAATCCTAATGCCTTGTGACCGCCAGTGTGAAACAACTGGTCTTAACAATTTGGTGAAAACGTAAGGAGACGTACTTAAACCAAAAGGAAGCGAACAAAACAAAAAATAGCGTGGCTTACCATCGAAAGTAAACGAAAAAGCCAAATACTTCCAATGCTCTTGAAAAATGTCGACATGATGGTAGCCATCACGAAGATCGAAAGTAAAAAACCAATCACCTGGCTGAAGAATTTCCGCCACGACTCGAAGGTCTTCGAACTTAAACTTACGCTTGGCTAGGTGCTTGTTGAGAAAGCGAAGGTCGAGAATCAATCGAAGTTTGCCATTCTTTTTAGGAACTACACCTAAGGGACTGCAAACATGAACTTGGTCACGCTTGACTTCCACCGCGCTACCCGCCAACAACAATTGCTCGATAGCTTCACAAACAAAAGCTCTATTATCAACAGCGCTTTTATGATTACTAAAGAAATACTTCACTGGAATTGAAACAAATGGTAACTTATAACCGCTTTCAATAACACTAAGAACAAAAGAAGAGGCCCCAATAGAACGCCAAACATGCAAAAACTTGCGCAAGCGGCCTCGAATCCAAAATACTGAGAAAACGCCCGTGTCAAGTTCAGCCTCGCCGCGTTCCAAAAAATTCGTCAAAATCAGAGTCAGCTAGTCATTTAGCGGAAGAGGAAACTTTACAATCCTTGATGAAATGGCCTGCTTTGCCGTAACCAAAGCAGCGATAAACAGAAGCTTTTTTCTCCGGTACAGGATTAACCAAAAGCTGACCGACATCCGGGCGGAAATCCACGATTCTATGTGACGGGCCAAAATTTACACTGGGGCCGCTTTTGGAAGATGTAGACTGAGACTTAAAACGAGTTCCCATTTTGCTTCTCAGACTATTTTTTCGATTTCGTTTCTCCCGAGACCTCTCTGCTTCCTTGCGCGCGATACGAAGTTTCTTTTCTTCTTCGTCATTTTTAGTGAGTGGGTCCGCCTCAAAATATTCTACCACGTCCCAGCCATCCCGGTCAGCAATAGAAATAAGCTTATTTCTGTTATCAAGGTGTGACATACCTTCGTTGGCAATCTTAGTGATGGCGTCATCCGCCCCAGCCCTCTCTAAAATCTGGTTGAACTTATCCTTGACGTCAGTGTTGAACTTGAACTGTTTCTTGTTACTCTTATATTTGAACTCGGGCTCCTCCTCCGCAGACTTGCGTTTTAATGAGTCGAGCTGTTCCTTGACAACCTTGACCTCTTCCGTTTTCGTCTCCAAGGCCTTTAAGATTTCCTTCGCCCACGTTGGGGGCCCAGGGCTGCGAGAAGCCGAGCGACTTCTACGGTGCGAACGCTCGCGGACACTCCTTCGCGAAGGCGAAGAACTACGACCAGAACCGCTTGAAGCTGCAACGTGTGAGCGAGAACTACGACGGCCTGAACTTCGATGTTCTCTTGACCTGGACGGCCGGACAACAGGGTCTTCAATGTCCGCGTTGACTCTCGAAACACGAGAACGAACTGAAGCCGGGCGACCACGACGGCCCCGCGCCATGTGGACGAGATAGGAAGAACGAGCTAAGAATTTAACTGTCCGCTTGTAAAAATCCACAATGAAACTTGTTTACTGTTCAGCGAATATATACTTGCTACTTTACATATCACACTTTCTTCTCATAATCTCATGCCGGCACTTAAAACACACTGCCGACGAATGCACCTGTGCTTGGGAATTCAAGAAACCATTTATCTTTTGTTTCATTACGCTTCGCTGCATTCAGGCAAAGATAAATGAACAATTTTATCGAATGAAAATATATTTTTATCGCATAAGAATATTTTTATCGAATGAAAATATATTTGTATCGAATGAAAATAATTTTTATCGAATGCAGATATATTTTTATCGAATGAAAATAATTTTTATCGAATTTTGCTACATTTCGGCAACCATAGTTTTCACACTCGTCTGAGAATGAACCAAGAAAAATGTCTTAGAACATAATTGCTCTTTAATCTATCTTGGGAATTCTAAAAGTGAGTGTTTTTGTCTTGGGACCCAAAATAATATTCTAATAGGACGAAAAGACAATCAAGGAATTAACAAAGTGCAAACAACTGACAACTGGAATCCGTGATACACCTCCAACAGCGTGATACACCTTCAACAGCAGTCACGAAAATGTTTTAGCCCTGCTGTCAAAAGGCCATACATTTTACAAAATATAAGCTTACTAGCTAAAGGTCCAAAAGCAAGCTGAAATTAAAAGACTAACCATGACAAAGATCATGCAGTGCCGATGTGAATTTGATTTGTGAACATGCGAATAACGACTGCAGTTCTCCAAATTCACCGTTAGTTTGTAATCGTATCTCTTTTATGCAGGGTGCTTCTATGTTTTAAAACTGCTTCATTCCAATATGGCCCTTGGTATTGAAAAAATGATATCCAAACGACTATGAAATAACTTTCACTTTAGCGTTTCAACGATTTCTCGCACTGTGCAGTTAGTTCCCAGTTCCCCGCTCGGTTGTAAGCCCTGTAAGCGGCTTACACGAAAGCTTACACTGAAAACCTGTCCGTAAATCGTGCCTCATGTGTGTATAATAGCTTTATTAACTAATTACTGGAAAATTGCTCGATGTAAAAGCAAACAGACCACTTCAATATTTTAAGCAAGCAGTTTTTATGTTGCTTTTCCTTTTCCACGAGGTTTGGGCCACCTCCCCCAACCCGCCGCCCTCACGCCTTCACTGTGTACATGAGAAATTTATATTGAAGGCACAAAGTTCAGTTCAGAAAAGAACCATCATGA